CTGGCTACCAAAAAAGCTAGTAAGATCTTGCTGCATTACACTGCATTTAAAAGAAAAAAACATAGCTGGCAGGAATAAAGAGGTACTAACCCTGTTGTTTTCTGACCTGGTCAGACTATATTTGATGTGTTGTGTTCAGTTCTTGATGACATTTAAGAAAGGACATCCATAAGCTAGAGTACTCAGAAGAGAGCATGAGGATTGGTACAGGGCCTTGAGGATGTTTAACCTGGAGAAGATTTGGAGAAACATATTCAATATCTTCAAGTTAGGACTTTGCCACCTGAAGAGGGATTAGACTTGCTCTGTCTGACTCCAGAAGGCAGTACTAGGAGTAATGGTTAGAAGTTGCTAAGAGGCAAATTTAGGTTTCACAGTAAGGAAAACGTCCTAATAATTAGAGCTATCCAAAAGTGAAATGGATAACCTCAGGAGGTCATGGGCCACCTCCTCTCTCTCTCCCTCCTCCTCCCCAACAACATATTCTGTGGGTCAATGACACTAGCCTTCTTGATATTACATCAACAAGATACTTCATCTGCCTGGCCATTTTCAGTGGTTGTTCCCCATTAAAGGCACGGTCTCCTCCTCACCTCTGCCAATTGGCTTCTCTGGCTTTCTTCAAGTCCCAGCTAAAATCCCAAATTCTACGGGAAACCTTTCCCAATCTCTATTCTAGTGCCTTCCCCCTGTTAATTATTTCCTCTTTATTTTGTTTGTACATTTTTGTCTGATTGTTGTGTCCCCATTAAACTATAAGTTCCTTAAGGGCAGGGACTATCTTTTGCTTTTCTTTACATCCCTAGCACTTAGCACAGTGCCTGGCACATAGTAAGTGCTTAATAAATGCTTGCTGACAGCCAGAAACCTCATGGAATGCTGCAGGAAAATTTCTGAGAAATAGGCCTCATTTCCTGGCAACATGACACCTGGGCCAACTTCCATATATGCTGATATCCTCCCAAACGCAAATAAATTTTCGCTAGGCACCACATTTCCTAGATATGGCTGCTTAGGGTAGCTTAGCAGCAACCAACCAGTTCTTTTATGATATAGTTTCTCTGGACCAATGAAGTCAGTCAGCTAATTTGTTATTTTGTGAATCCTTAAGTTAATTACCACCCCAATAATATCCAAGAAGCTAGCAATGCCTAATGCATTGCTAATGCAAAAGGTTTACTGGTCACAAGCATGGACAAGCTGCACTGAAAGGAGACCTTCCCTGTATTTACAATCTCATTTTAGAGCCCAGCTGATGTCAAAATATATAACCTTATAGAGGCCTCAATCCTGTTCTGGTTCATGGCCCACAATCCAATCAATGGGGATGGCTGATAGCCTTCTTAGTACAGTACTGCCCTCTAGGTTGAAGGGGCTGGACCCCATCAGGCCCAGTTCCTGGAGAATCTTCTAGATAAAAGTTAACCGAACACAAGCTCAACCATCACTAGGGCACAACAGGATGACAATGTCTGACATCGGTTGTTGTTGTTTGTCCTTTATTATTGAAGAGGATCATGACATCAGGGAAGTGATGCCATGACTTGCAAGTAATTTGGATTTAAGTGAGGGAGGGCTGTGCAAAGTCACCAGCCTCACTTTCTTCTTCCAGAGTCATCTAAGTCCAGTAGCAAGATATAGATCAGGACACCTGGAGATGGCCCTGGATGTGGTGGGAGACCTTGGACTTTTTAAGTTTAGGTCTTTCCCAGGTCTCAGTTTGACTGAGGCAACACTTCATTCAGTGATTAAGACTAGGAAACAAATAAGGCAGAGAATGGCCTCTTTTGTCTACTAAAAAAAAAAATCATTCTGGGAGGTGAAGACCCTCCGGGTTTCTGGCTAAAACAGAAATACTTGCTATTTACATTCACTCTGAGCCAATGGGGCCCAAACAGTGACCACCTAAGGCTTGGCAGGGACCTATTTAGCCAAAGTGGTTTGGGTTTAAGGCATGGCCCTTAAGAAAAAAAAAATCTAGCCCATAAACCAGACCTGCACAACCTGCAGCCCAACAAAGGATCTGAGGCAGTCCTCAAAAAATCCCTCTACATTTTTCTTGGGCTGCCCAAAATCTTTTGGTGGGCCACAGGTCACGCAGGCCTGCTGAGGTTTCACTGATCACAATTCACACTCCTTTGGGAAAACACTTAGGAGGAACTCCTAGTAAGAAAACACCCCATATTAAGGCAGATCAGCACCTGTTCTTCTACCTAGTCTCCAGGAGCTCCCTAGGAGCACTGAGAATTTACATAGCTCTCCCCAGGTCACACAGTCAGGAAGTTTTAAAGGCAGAACTTGAATTCAGGTCCTCCTGGCTCTTCATCCACTATAAATAGCACCCTGTCACTCTAGCAGAATGTAAACTAGATCAAAACAAAATTCAAGCTAGAAGCCTGGTTTAGTAAGAGTTTTAAACAGAGCTCACACAAATCTTTTTTTTTAAACAAGCTTAGAATTTAAACATTCACACCTTTGCTAGGCCATGCAAATGAGTCTCTATGTTCAAGCTATACTTGAGTCTACACACACACACACACACACACACACACACACACACACACACACACACACACAAACAATCCTATTCGCTCAGGTTTAGATACCCACCAGTCTGTGTGCACAGTTTTGTAAAGGATGGTACCAAATAATAAGGGTCAGGATGACCCTTGTAGAGGCTCATCACTTCAACCCAAGCCCGTAGGTTCTCCTTTAATAGATACTTCCTCCTAACTAGTGTCAAGCCCCTAGTGACCTATTAGTGTTTTGTTTTTTCCTCCAAATATCACTGTGCTTGGAAGAAAGAAAACAAAGACAAAGTAAGAATTGAACAGTTGTCTATTCCACCTGGGCAAGGTGCTAGCCTGTGCAGAACTAAAGACAAAATAAAAAACAGTCTCTGACCTCAGGAAACTTACATTCTATGGAAGAGGGGAGGTCTAGGGGGAGAGAATACAACATATACATAAAATGGTAACTATATACATGATTATTTGAGGAAAGAAAGAGTACCATCACTAAGGAAAACTTTCCACAGCAGACAGTATAAGGGCTAAGCCTTGAAGATTCTAAGAGGTATATGTAAGAAGGGAGTATATCCTAAGGATAACAGTCCGGACAAAAGCATAAAGGCAAGAGATAGAATCCTGGATTCAGAGAATAGTAAATTTTGCTGGAATGCAGAGTGTTCAAAGGGAAATCATGTGAAATAAACTTAGAAAATGAAGAACATGAAACTAGGAAGTCTAATGTGATGGACAGTTTATTATCTAAAGAACAAGGGATCCATAGGGCACAGTGGAAGAAAAGCTTGATTGGGCTATAGACAGAGGAGAAATAAGAATGAGATATGAGTATGAAGGAACAGAGGATGGCAGTATGAGAAGAGCTGCCTAGGCACCCTGGGATTCTGAATACAGAACAGGGATTCTAAAGATTACAGAACAAGAGAGTCAAATCCTTCACAGGAACATGAGACTGATTTGATTATCATTCTTACTAGCGTAAGAAGTGAAAACGGAAATGATAGCGGGGTTTGGGGTATGCATGGGCAATGGTAGGACAGATGGCAAATCCCTGGTCCTGCTCAGAGACCAGTGGCCAGACAGTCAAAGGGAGGTGCTGCAGTCTACAAGGACCCAAGTCTAGGGCCTGGATAGCCAGAGAGGGGTGAGGTATGGTTCATTTACTCCTAATTCAATCTCGAGCCAGGACCACTCTGCCCCAGGGCCAGCTCTAATGCTGAGCTGAGTACAGATTATGCTACGCAGTTACATGGGCAGCCCATTGAGCTAGATTACATAGATGGATAATGAGCTAGACTATGTCATTTTTTGTATCTCCAGCACTTGGCACAACATCTGGTATAATAGCAAGTACTTAACGCTTATTGAATGAATAAAGAATGAATTGCTTTTTAGATCAAAAATATATTCTTTAGGTTTGGCTAATTTTAAAACCCCTTCACATACCAGTAGGTCCCAACCTACTTTTCCAAACTGTTATGCATCCCACCCTTCCCACCCTTTGTCGTCCAGCTAAACTGCCCTTCCTGCCGTTTGTCACACACAACACTCCACTGCCCATCTCTGTGCCTTTGCATTGGCTGGGCCCCATGCCTGGGATCCCCTGTCTCCCTGGGATGCCTTTACCTCTCAGACCCCCTTGTTTCCTTCATAACTCATCTCAAGCACCACCTTCTCCATTCAGTCTTTCCCGATCTCCCTAGTGGCTAGTATCTTCCTGACCAAAATTACCTTGCAGCTTACTTTGCATATATTTTGTATATTCACTTAAATGCGTCCATGTTGCCTCCCCTGCTATAACATAAGTTCCTTGAGGAGCTGTTCCACTTTTGCCTCTGTGCCTCCAGTGCCTGGCACAGTGCTTAGCAGAGGCTGCACTGGGAAGCTGCTCATATGGCCAATGATCCCAAGCTGCTCCCCGAAACAAGAAGCCATCTTTGAACGCCTATATTTTTCTCACAGAGCCAGAGAGCAACAGATCATGGAACACCACCATCTCTGATGAATCAGAATTTTGGGTGACGCCAGGGGCAATGGAAAGACATAAGGTGGGAGTAAAGAGTCTGCTACATATTATCAGAGATGACTTGCACAGCAGAATAAAAGATATTACTCAGGAAGTGTCTGATTAGAAAAGGAAGTAGCCAGTTAGATAGGGAGAGTGAGGAATAACAAATAGACCAGTAGCTACATAGAAATGCTGGTAAAGGTAAAAGGCCTAGACAAGGATATCTGCATAGTGGGCAGATCCCATAGGTAAGTTCAGTGGAAACACATGGATAAGAGTCACCCGGAATGAGAAAACATCAATGAGCTTCAGCTTTTACCTTTAGAGAAATACCCATGCTAGAAAAGCACGAAATTTGGACTAATATTTTAGAGAAATAATTTCTGAAATATTTACAGGGATATAAAAGATATGATCAAAATCAAATACTTTCTTTAAAATAATCATAACAACTAAAACATGCTTACCCTTCTCATGCGTAATTCTTCTAATGCCTCTAACAAATTTGTTTTGAATTCTAATATCTGGATAGAAAACAATGGTTCTGAAGAACTTTGAAGGGAATAGGAAGTTGACTCAGTCTTAAAGTCTTTATCCATAATAAAATTTGGTTCCTGCAATATAAAAGTTTTAAAAAAGGATTAAATCCTATAGTAAAAACCTCAATTTGCACTAATTTCTACTTCTACACCTCTGACATAAGAGGTAGCACAGCACAGTGAATAATAATAGCTAGCTACTGGTTACATGGTATTTTCTTATTTGATCCTCACAACAACTCTGTGAAGTGCTATTATTATTTCATTTTACAGATGAGGAAACTGAGGATGACAAATATGAAGTGATTTGCACAGGGTCACACAGCTAATAAGTGTCTGAGGCAATAGTTGAACTCAAGTCCTTTGGACCCCTAGTCCCAGCATGCTGCTCACTGAACTACCTTACTTCCTCTAGAAAAAGGAGAACTGAACTCAAGAGTGCCCAAAGCCCAGGTTCAAATAGTGCTTCACCTCTTGGTACCCTGGGCACTGGGACCGTGAGTATCTAAGACTCCAAGCTGCCCATCAGTCACCGATCTGCATTGGTAGAAAAAAGCTCACAGAGTCCTAGCACTCAAGCTGAAGGAAGCTCAGGGCCATCTACTCCAACGACCTCATTTAAAAGATGAGGAAACTGCGGCCCAGAGAAGTGACATGAATGACTTGTCCAAGATCACACAGGTAAGTAAACAACAGAATCAGGGTTTTATTTAATTCAAGTCCTTTAAGTAAACCCAGTATCCTTCCCATCAGGCCACTCTGGCCCCAAACGCCAGACACTGACATAACCAGGTTCAAACTCAGAGCTACTGGTGTATGCTGCCACATACAGTACACCAACCTCTGTCCTCCAGAATAGTCTGCCCTATGCTGATGGAATCACAAGTCCAGCATTACTTCTAAAATGCCCTTGAGCAGGACATAAAATGTAGACTGCTGAAATACTCCAGATTTCCCATCTACTTAGTCAAATCCTATCTATTCTTCAGCACCCAACTCAATTCCTAACTCTTCCATGAAACCACCTCCAGTGACTATATCCCTTGCTGGTCTCTCCTTTCTCTGAATACCTACCTACTGAACTTCTAAGTTGGCACTAGAATTCAACACTAAGGATGAGCAAAGTGAGGCCCAGAGACATGTGGTGATTTGCCTATGGTCACAGAGGTAGTAAGCAACAGAACGGGGCTCCAAACTCAAGCCTTCATACTAATGAGCCAATGGACTTTCAACTGCGCTATAGGAAAATATTATTCGCTTAACAAACAAAATCAACTTAACCATAAACTTCCTTGAAATACATCTGAATATAAGAGAAGTAAGAGAAAAGAGGTACATGAAATGTTTTTTACCTTCCAGGAACATGGAGAGATAAAACTAACATACATAGAATTCACCACAGCCTTTCAATCCCTTGTCTTCTTGAAAACTCAGTCCAGAGCCACTTTCAACATGAAATCTCTCCTGATCCCCTTAGCTGCAAGTGTCTTCACACCCAAAATTACCTTGTATTTATAAGCATCTAGGTACATGTTGTCTCCCCAATAGCATCTGAATTCCTTGAGGGAAAAACAGTTTCATTTTTTTTTCTCTGTAGCCCCTGCACCTAGCACAGTGCCTGGAACATGATAAGAACTAACAAATGCTTATTGACTGAAAAGGGCAGCTAGGTGATGCAGTGCATAGAGTGCCTAGACGAGTCAGGAAGATTCCTCTTCCTGAGTTCAAATTTGACCTCAGACATTTCCTAGCTGTGTGACCCTGGGTAAGTCACTTAACCCTGTCTTGCCTCAGCTTCCTCACCTGTAAAATGAACTAGAGAAGGAAATGGCAAATCGTTCCAGTATCTTTGCCAAGAAAACCCCAAATGGTGTCATAAAGAGTCAGACACAACTAAAAATATGACTGAACAACAAAACTGATTGAAAACTAATAAGGTTAAACTGTGTAGTGTACAGTGATATAGCAGAAACAGCAATGGATTTAGGGTCAAAGTATTAGGACTCTTGTTCCCAACTCTACCATTTACTAGCTGAGTAAGGTGTTAATAGTAGAAGTTAAAAGACTTGACTTTGAATAGCAGCTCTCCTATTTATTGACAGCATGACCTTGGCTAAATCACTTAATTTATCCAAGACTCAATTCTTCATTTGTAAAATGGAAATATTTTTCCACTACCTGCCCCACAGCTTTATTATGACAAAAGAACTGAATAAACTCTGACGTGTTATACAACTGCAGAAGTGAGCTATTACTATTATTACTGATACTATCATTATATATGTTATTACTGAATTGAGCAATTACTGTTATTACTGATGCTGTGCGCTTATCAGGAAAACTTATAAACACAATATATGAAAGAGACAAAAGTCTTTTAATTCATGTAAAATTACCCCCAATGAATGTTCACAGATCAAAATAATTA